ACGCAGGACCCCGAGGCTGGCCGTCGGGCGAGAGAAGGGATATCTGCGTCTGGTCGATGGAACCGGACATCCAGACAGGTTAGCAAATGTCTCAGTAAACTAATTGGGAAGAACCAGATGCGATGGACTCGCTTAAAAGACGAGGCCAAATGTGTGAGGCAATGGTGTCAGCCTCTCCTAACACCCCCAGGTGGCCTGCCCCCACCAGCCGCCCAGGAGGAAAGGTGGACAGAGCGGGGTGGGGCGCGTCCACTGCCAGTGGGTCCGGGCCACGGAGGGCCTGCCTTCCAGTGAGATATGCAGGCAGCACGCCCACTGTTGGGGGCCGGGGGTTCTAGGTCCACGCCTCCTGTGCTTTCTCTGGCCCTGGAGACTGGCCTCCGGTGGGGTCTTCAGGGCAGGTCCACGCAGCAGGCGGTGGCTGTCCTCACGGGCACGAGTGGTCCTGAGGCCTCTCTGTGGTCCCAGGCACACCCCCTGAGGTCTCCACCCCATGCTTGGCCTCTGCCTCTCAGTACCCCCGTTGCGGTGCAGCCCGAGTCTACCCCTGTGGGCCATGGTGCCTCCCGAGCCCCCCATGCGCTCGGCCGCCCTGCTTTGAACATGAGGTTTGGACACGCCCAGCGTCGCAGACCCCACTTGACCCATCAAGACCGTCCCACCCCTGAGCCCACCGTGTAGGCCCCCTTGAGCCCCCGCTGCCCACTTGGTGCTTCTGTCCAGAAACCCAAAGACAGCGGGGGTTTCAGCCAGGCCAGGTCTCCACAAGGGAAGCGAGACCAAGACTTGCAGGCTGCAGGGGAGCCGAGGGCGCCCCAGTTCTGCTTCGCGTGCCCAGCACGACGGGTCCCAGCCCCTTACTGCAGGATCTGCATGTTCTCCTCTCACATGGGGGGAGGGAAGCCCTGGGGGCCGGACTGCCCCCTTCAGGGGTGGGAGAGGAGCCCATGATTCTGGGGCAGGAGTGGGTTCTGGGAAGCCTTGGGGGTCCCTGTGAGCTGGCCCCTGGGTTCTGGTGGGTCTTCTGCTGGGACCTTGAGGAGGACAGGCCACAGAGAGGGGCTGGGCTGGGGGCAGAGGCCAGGGGCTCGCTCAGACCCCTGGGGAGGCCACTTGCTGTTAACACAAGGGTCAAGGTGACCCCCCCAGGTCCTGAGTCTGCCGTGCTTGGAGAAGCTCTACCCTGACAGCCGAGCATCTGGGCATTCATTCTGGTGAGTCTGATCACACGCAGTCCAGACAAGGTTCCCGCATCCCATCATCCTACAGCGATGGACTTAGCTTTGTCGAGAGCATCTATTTCTGAACAGTTCTGTGGCACTTTTACTTAAACACCCGAATCCCTTCTGTCTGGTGGTTTCACTGAAAACCGGTGGTCCACGTGGTTGTCCTTGTCCACGTGCTAGTATTTTAACTACGGTCGTAGGCAGCCCCACGGGGTGGGGGGGCGCCTCCAGGCCAGGGCAGCTGGGGGGCAGGGGCCGTGCCTCAGGGCTCGGCAGTAGGCGAGGTGGCCCCGTGCCATCACCCTCTGCTGTCCGGCATTGTCTCGGCGAGGCCCACGGGTCTGCACGGTACCCCCTCCCCCATGCCTGCTACGTGGTGGCCCTGGCTTCCCGAGGACGGTGGCGGGGACCCCGGCCTGTGTTCCAGGGCACAGCTCAGGTCCAGCCCTTCACACCCGGGCCGCTGCCCAGATGCTGACTTGAGAAAACTCCCCAGCAGGGGCTTGTGGGCATAGCGGGGGCTGCTGTCAGTGCCTCCATCACCTTGGTTTATAAAGCGTGAAGTCTGTCAGGGCCACTTCTCTCATCACTGAACTGCAGACTGACTCTCAGAAAAGGACCGTTTTGCCTGATTTTAAGGATAAATCTACACGAACCAAGATTCACAGGGCGGTTGGTGTTAGCTGGTGTCACCCTCATGGCCACAGCCCAGCAGGCCCACAGGCAGGCGTGGCCCCCAGGCCGAGGCAGACTGGTAGGTCTAAATGAAATACTCAGAATCAGTTTGGTTTAGGTATTTCCTCCCGGCCTAACCCGACCAAGGGTTGTTCTCATAGAATTAAAAGAGCATCAGTTCACTGGACAAACAAATGAGGATGATCTGAGGCACAGCTTGGGCCCAGCGGCTACTGGACTTAATGTGGCCCTGAGGCGGACAAATATGAAGAAGTAAACAAAACAATAGAAGGAAGTTGGAAGACGAGACGTCAGAAACAGAAAGAGGAAAGAACCAACATCAGTGCCATCCACCTAAACGCTGGGAGCAAAGCCTGTGTTAGCTACAAGGCGAGCTGGGTGCTCAGACTGGCTCCCTTGGCCTGGGGGATGCCCACAGTGCTGGACACACAAAATCATGGCCAGGGCCATGGCTGCGCCCACACGCACGGCAGTGCTGGGTGGACAGACGCTGCTGTGTGGTCAGTGATGGGAGGAGTCACCCGCTTGCCCTCCAGCTGCCCTGCCCACCCCAGCGCCTGGCCTGTTGTACGCGCACTCTCTTTTTGGGCAGCAAATGTGAAACATGTCCACTAGCTGTTTTATGCCTTTTGTGTTTTCCTGAGGCCCCTGTTTGAAAGAGACACAGTGGGTCTCAAAGAGAGTGGAACTGTGGCCGGGGTCACCCAACCCACCCGCGATGCAGGGGAGGGCACAGAGCACTCACCTGCATGCACTCAGGTTCCAGGAGACACGCCTTCCCAGGTGAGCAGGAGAAAGGGAGAAACATGGTCACTGGACACCCTCCGGCGTTTCCCAGCCCACGTCACCCCCTCCAGATTGTCCCCCACGTAAGCCGCCCGCAGAGTGATGGTGGGACCCAGTTTGGGAGCCTTGTCCCAACCACGGGATCACGAGCAAGTAAGAACAGAAGCTGGCCCAGCAGATCTGGGACCTGAGCTGGTCTCAGCGTCCACCTTCAAGGACGATCGACGTGCACCCGGGGCTCACCTGTGGGCACGTCTCCCTCCAGGGAGCAGCCACCCCAGGATAGCATGGGATCGAGGACAGGCCCCTCGGCCCTAACCAGGCACCTGCACAGTGGCCCCACTGGCACCACCCTCCACGGCCCTGAACACGACACAGGCTGATGGTCGTGCCTGTCCACAGGGGTCCACAAGGACGTGATGCTGCCAGCGAGCGTGACCTGTGACATCAGAGGTTGTGACCTGTGATGCCAGAGGCTGTAACTATTGATGTCACAGGACATGACCCGTACAGGGACCAGCCCCCCACCCTGCTCAGCACTGTCGAGAGGAGGCTGTGGGCAAGTCTGCGTGGAGCTGCCTCTGAAGGGGCCCCGTCCTCCCTGGGGCTGGTGGCTGCTCCGGGGGTATGTGGGCTCCCAGCCCTGCCACTTGCCAGCCCTGGTCAGCAGGGGTCCCATCTTGTGGTCCAGCTGAGGTCAGGGTGACACCACAGTGCTTCTGGTGGGACGCTGTGGACACCTGGGCTCGGAGTTGGGGGCGGCACAGGAAGCCCACCAGGGATCGGGGACCCCCAGCGTCCCTTCCCTATTTCGATTCAGCTCCAGTGACATCTGCAAGTTCGTTTCACCCTCAAGTCCCCAGTGCTCACCCCTCCCTACTTTTTTGTTCCCGACTCATTAAAAATTTTTTTATTTTGAAATTTCTTAATTGTGACAAAATATACATAAAATTTACCATTTGAACCATTCCTCATTGTGCAGCTCAGTGGCATCAGGTACATTCATTCACATCGTTGTGCAGCCATCGCCACCACTGTCTCCGGACGTTTTTCATCTTCCCAGACTGAAGCTCTGTCCCCATTAAGCACCAGCTCCCCAGCCCCTGGATGACTCTGACTATTCCAGGGACCTCCTGTAAGTGGAATCGTGTAGTACTTGTCCTTTTGAACTGGCTTATTTCCCTTAGAATAATGTCCTTGAGGTCTGTTGATGCTGCAGCAAGCGCTGGAGTTTCCTTCTGCTTTAAGGCTGAACGATACCCTTGGTGTGGATGGACGGCACATTGCTAATCCATTCTTCCATTCATGCACACTTGGGGTGTTAACACCTTTTGGCTGTTGTGAATAACGCTGCTATGAACAGAGGTGCACAAATACCTATTTGAGTCCCTGCTTTCAATTCTTTTGGGCTTACGTGGGAATTCTATGTTTAAATTTTTTGAGGCATTGCCACACTGTTTCCCACAGTGGCTGCACTATTTTACATTCCCACCAACGTGCACAGAGATTCTGATTTCTCCAAATCCTCACCGATGGCTGTTGTTTTGTGCTTTTTAAGAAAATCTTTTATTAATAGCCATCCCTTTTTTTTTTTTTTTTTTTTTTTTTTTGCGGTACGCAGGCCTCTCACTGTTGTAGCCTCTCCCGTTGCAGAGCACAGGCTCCGGACGCGCAGGCTCAGCGGCCATGGCTCACGGGCCCAGCCGCTCCACGGCACGTGGGATCTTCCCGGACCGGGGCACGAACCCGTGTCCCCTGCATCGGCAGGCGGATGCTCAACCACTGCGCCACCAGAGAAGCCCAATAGCCTTCCTAATTGGTGTAAAGTGGTAGCTCATTGCGGTTCTGATTTGCTTTTCCCTGATGACCAATGGCGTTGAGCATCTTTTCATGTGTTTTTTGGCCATTCGTATATTTTCTTTGTACAAATCTATTCAAGTCCTTCACTCGTGTTTTAATCAAGTTGTTTGTTTTGTTATTGTTGAGTTCATCAGTTCTTCAAATATTCTTGATATTAGCCTCTTATCAGATAGATGGTTTACAAGTATTTTCTTCCATTCCATAGGCTGCCTTTTCACTCTGTTGATGGAGTCCTTTGATGCACAGAGGGCTTTAACTTTGAAGCCAATTTGTGTTTTACTTTTGTTGCCTGTGCTTTTGGCATCATATCCAAGAAAGCATTGCTAAACCCAACGTCATGAAGCTTTCCCTTATGTTTTCTTCAAAGAGTTTTAGAGTTTTAGCTCTCACGTTTGGGTCTTTGGGTTTTTAGTTAATTTTTGTATATGGTGTAAGGTGCAGGTCCTGGTTCGGTGTTTTGCATGGGTTATCCGGCTTTCCCAGCATCATTTATTGAAAAGACTGTCCTTCCTTGTCGAATGGTCACGGCACCCTTATATGTGTGATAGTTTATTCTTGGGCTCTCTATTCTATTTCACTGGTCTATACGTCTGTCTCTGTGCCTGTCCCACACTGCTTTGGTTACAGTAGCTTTGCAATAAGTTTTGAAATCAGAAGTGTGACTCCTCCAGCTTCGTTCCTTTTCACGATTATTTTGGCTGTTGGGGTCCACTTGGGATCCTGTATGAATTTTTAGGTGGGATTTCCTCTATGTAAACAGGGCCGTGTCTCCCTCTTTCATTCGGCCGTCCGCATCGGCGTGGACACGTGGACGCACGGACGCGTGGATGCACGGACGCCCCACGCTGTGAGCCAGAGTCCAGTGCTGTGTTCTTGCTTTTACAGCTCCCGCCGCTCCCGCCGTGGCCCCTGTGACGGCTGACACACCCTCTTCATTGTCTTGATCATTTCCTTACTTTCCGGCACCAGAGATGCTCCCGGCTCCATTTTTTTTTTTTTTTTTTTTTTTGTTCCAGTCCCAAGATCAGCTACTTCTCCAAGGAGCCCTGGCTCCTTTGACTGAGAACAGTATTAGAAACCAAGAACCGGGCACTAGGTGTACCCACTGCTGCTGGGGTGTCACTGCTTCCAGGCTCTCTCAGCTGACAGAACCAGGAGCTCTATTTTAAGACCCCTTCATGGCAGCCGAGGCCCCAGGCCCCTCAGGAGCCTTCAGTGTCAGAGCGGCTCCATTTTGGGAGGACCTGCTCCATACTCGGTTACGAGGCCTGCATTTGTTTCGGGGTTGTCGTGAGCGCTGCCCCGTCGCTGATGCTGCACTCTGGCCTCTCATCAGCCTTGCGAGTCCCTTAACCGCCCCCCCCCCTGCCCCCCGCGCCTCCTCCTCTGTGACGGCAGGCGGAGCAGTGGCACCCTGCCACACTGGCACTGTCTGTGGAAGGCCGCTGGGGACGGGGACCACGACACTTAGTAACCCCGAGTGAGCTGCACTGTGCACAAATGCACAGCAAAGAAAGGGCACTGAAGTGGGAGGAAGGAGACCGGGGCTCATGGGTCGGTAAGGGGGCCGGGGGCCACCCTCTCCTTGTCAGAGCTCTGGACTCTGACACAGAGGCATCGGGCTTCCCCAACCTGGATACCGCACTGGTGGGCCAGGGTGTCTGGTGGACGTCTGCCGTGCCAGCTGTCCTCACCAGTCCCCATGGGAGGCCTGAGTCCTTGCAGCCCCCCCACTCCCCCAGTGCACGACGCCAAGCACATTCGGGGCCCGGCTTTAAGGAAACCCGGAGGGCGCAGCACGACTCCCAAGCACACAGGCCCGTGCCCGGTGCTCCAGGCCCGAGGCACGCAGGTCTCTTTCCAGCCTGGGACTGAGTGACTGAGGAACCAAGCGAGACGGTTCGGACGGTGCTGAGATGAGGGGAGATGCAGCTCCCGGGGCTCACGGCTCGGAGGCCGCAGATGGTGACGGTGGGGGCAGGAGTGGGCGCCAGGCCGCTGACAGCCCCCTCCCGTCTGCTACCCTGGGGCCCGGGCCCCGTGTGGCTGTGGCCCAAGTGGGAGCCCCTGGCCACGGGGGGAAGGATGCAGCCCAGGTCAGGCCTGAGTTCTTGGCCACTCAGGAGTGGGGCTGCAGCCCAGGTCAGGGCTCCTGGTCACTGGGGGGCAGACCCCCAACGGCACGGGCAGCAACCTTGGGTGCAGAACTCTGTGGGGCTGCCCTGCACACGGGCTGGCCAGGCCCGGACACTCTCCAGCCTAGGGCGTCCCCTCGCCCTGCTGACCCGGGAGGAGCCCAGGCTGCCCCTGAGCCGGGGCGGCACGCAGAGTGCGCTGCCCACCAGAGACGCCCCTGGGGCCTGGCCCGAGTTGACCGCCACGGGCCAGGTGCTTCTGTGCTGCTTTTCATCTTGTGGTGCTGCCCGAGGGCTGACCTTGATGCCCAAACCCAACTGTGGTCGCCAGCGTGAGGCAACCTCCTGCCACATGTCCCCTGGTGGCCAAGGAGCCAAAACAGAGGCAAAAGCCATTTCCTTCCCCGACGGCGGGGGCGCATGCAGATGAGCACATCCCCGGGGGGCACGCAGGCAGGGGCCCAGGCCAGCGTGGTGGCTGCTGGTGACCGACGGGCACCAGGGCTGGGAGACACGGGGGCCCTTCTGTCACCCGAGGTACCGGGAGCTCCAGCGTGAACCCGTCCTCACGCCCCACGGCGCCCTGGGGCCGAGCATCCTCCCTTCCAGCGGTGGACAGGAGCCCAGGACTCACCGGGCTCTGGGCATTGGCGGCGGGGCACCCGGCGGCCTTCTGCCTCGCCAGCTCCTTCGCGTAGCAGTGCACGTCGGCGCTGAAGCAGTCGGCCTCGTAGAAGGCGCTGCACCAGCCGGGACTGCAGCTCTGCAAGCCGCCTGGGCCTGGGCTCACGGACGGGCTGCCCTCCGGGGGCTGGGCTAGCCGTGCCACTGCCTCAGAGCCCCCAGCCAGGCCCCCGACCTGCTGCCGGGCCTCTCCTGCCTGGGGCTGCTCCCTCCCAGCTGCTACCGACTTCTGAGGCCGAAACCCCACCTCAAAGTTGCTCCGCGAGAGCTCGTCTGAGTCCACGCTCGGCTTCTCCTTCCCTGGACAGAGGAAGGCGGGGGCGGGTCACACGCGGCAACGTGGGCTCCCGGGGAAGAATCCGACCCTGATTGCAGAGAGGCGACAGGTCCCTAGCAGGGGGCAGGAGGCCCCTCGGGATGGCCAGGTGGCCCCACCTCCGCTCCAGAGGAGCCGCAAAGGGTCCTCAGGGTCAGGGTCCCTCGGTCCCCTCCCAAATGGGCTGCCATGCAGGGCAGAGTTGTGGCAGAGACCCGAGGGAACTTTGAACTGTCCGTAAACAGACAAAGCAGAGAGTCCCCTAGGAACCAAGGGTCCCAGCTGGTCATGAGCTGTTCTCTGGGCATCTCCATTTTGCTTTCCAGTTTCCCGAGCGTGCACACGGTATGGGGGGCTCTCACTGCCATCCTGTGTGTGACTGTAGTCACACAACCTAAAGGACATGGTCCCCAAAGCCAAGTCCCACTCGGACCAGATTTGGAGAAATTACAAAGTTTTCAGTTATCAGGGAGTCCTGGCTATGGATCTAGGAAGATACGCCTCGGGGTCTTTAAATGGCACGTTTCCAAGAAAGAATGCAGAGCCCCCCATCACCATGCTGCTGGCCCCAGCCCTTGCCCTTGCTGCCCACCTGGTGGCCTGGGGAGAATGCCCCCCTTCGCAGTACAGACCCCCCAGAGGAGGACGGGCCCTGCCCTTGGGGCCCTGGAGAGACACAGGGTAACCTGGCCCCAAGGGTGGAGAAGACCCAGCTGTGGAGGGTCTCAACCCACAGCCCTCTGTCTCACCCGCTCCGAGATGTGAAGGCCTTTTGCTGGACGGTGAGCATGTGCTCGGAGCGCTGGTCCCACCGCTGCTCTCGGGCTGTGGCCCAGCCTCCTCGGAAGTGCTGCCATCAGAACGGAGGACACTGCAGGCACCCCTGGGACCCTCCCACAGGCTTACTAGAGGCTTCCCCTGGGAGCGAAGCGGGGGTGTTGGTGACCGAGCCCCCCCCCCCCCAGACCTCCAGGACGGCCTGGCCACAGGCCACAGATGTCACAGACACGGGCCCTTTAGCAGACGACTTTCTGGGCGTCCGCCTCTTGGGGTCCTTCGACGGCTCCCCCAGTGATGTGAAAATGTGGGGCTTGCCTGGGGTGGAGAGCAGGGTGTGCGCCGCCTCTGGATGGGGTTCTGGGGACCAGGAGGGGGCGGGGACGGGGCTGCCGTGAGCTCGGGCGTCAGGGCGTCAGGGCGCTGGACCACTCCAGGCACAGGTCCCGCCCACCCTGCAACATGGCCCTCTGCAGCCCTTGGGAGGGGCTGGGCCAGGCCTGGCACTGAGGCGCCCCGGGCGCATCCTGTGAAGGGTGGGGCCCAAGAGGGCTGGGGGAAGGGGCAGGAGAGGGAAGGTGCCTGCCCCCCTCCCTCCTGAGCTGTCACTTCATCTTCTACCGCCAGGAGGGGAGCTGGACGGGAGTGGGGGGGCAGACGCTGGTCCCTGCAGGGGCCTCCCCGCAGCCAAACCCGGCCTCCGGGCTCCGTTGCTCTGCCTCCTGAGCTGGTCCCAGGGAGGCGGACGTGCCTTCTGCGCCCTGTGACCCCACAAGCCCCCCTCCTGCCAAGAGGAACGCTTGCCTGAAGGGAGAGCTTTGGAAGCAGAGTGGGCCTCGGGCCAGGAAAGAGGGGCCCAGCAGGTGGTCGCTCTGGGGAGGGCGATGAGTGGGACGCCGGGCAGGAGGACGGCCCTCAGGGGCACAGCGGGGGTGGGGAGGCCGCGAGGAGGGGCTCTTACTTCTCGGAGGGTGACGTCCTCCCGTTCACCACTCTGAAAAGATTCTGCAGCAACCTCTCCCCCCAGTAGAGGTCACAGAACTTCTCCGATATGGCCCCACAGAAAGTGGCATAGGTGAGGTCTTTCAAGGCGTAAATATACTCCCCTGAGTTCGCAAGAAAACCACGGGGGTGAGTTAAAATGTATGAGTGCTTTTCTGGGTTCCCCTGGCCTCGGGAACTGGCGGGGGGGCGGGGTGCAGCTGGCTTCCTCTGCCGGCCAGCCCCTGGGGGCTCTGCCCTTTGTGCAGAGACGGGAGGATGGGGGACCCTCCTGTGGTGACCTCCCCTAGCACACGGCTCCCCCCGGGCCTGTCCCTGGTCCTTGGGTCCCCGTGGCCCCGTGGTACCCATGATCAGAGCCTCCAGCCCGTGGTCCAGGTAGCCGTCAAAGGCAAACTCTTCCTGAATGAGGCGTGTGGCCTCCTGCAGCGATGGGCAGGCTGTCCCCTGTGAGAGGGGCGAGGCATCCGCACTGGACGGACAGGGCTTGTGGTCTGCTGGGTAGGGCCACTCCGGGTGACCTTCTGGGGCCCGGTCATCCCACTCCCTGACGGGGGCTCCCCCGGGGCCGTCGGGACTCCCTGTGACCGGCGAGGGGCTCCGCAGGGCTGACGGGGGGCCCTCGGGCTCCTGGCCTGGGACCTGGGTGGCCCTGCCCCTGGGCGGCTTGGCTGGGTGGCAAGGACTGTGGGGGGCTGCGGTGGGCCCGGGGAGGCGGGGCTCGAGGCCTCCACAAGCAGCTGCAGTTGGGATGGGTTCCTTCGGCCCTCGCTCCGGGGGTGGCATCTGTGTTGTCGTGGGCGGGGCCGGGGATTTGGGCATCACCAGTGAAGCCCCTTCCAGCGGGCTGGCCGGGGCAGGGGCTGGGGGGCTGGGGCAGCCCTGGGCTGAGTCTCTTGGCGCCGACTCTCTGAGGGGCTCTGGGGAACCGGGTGCTGGTCGGTCAGGCGTCTTCAGGCCCGTGGCCGCTCCATGGGCCTCAGGCGCCTGCTTCCCATCACCCTCCCCGTCCAGCCGGCCTCTCCTCTCCTCAGGCCCCTCAGCCGGCCCCGAGGTCAGGGCGAGCGTGTCCCTGCGAGCAGAGAGGAGAGAGTGTTCAGGGGGCCCGGCAGCCCGGCAGCCCCTGGGTGGGGACACTCACCTGGCGACACCAGCATTGGCAGCGAGGACGATGGGCCTGAAGTGAGTGGCCGGGGAGGCGAACGCCTCTGGCAGCAACGTGGCCCCTTGGAGGCAGGAGGGTTGACTGGGCACTGGCCCCTGCACGGCCACCAGCCTGCTGTCACTGCTGATCTGCAGGAAGCCTGGAGACAAACATGGGGTGAGCAGGGTGGGTGCCGGCCTTAGTGGGTGCCGGCCTTAGTGGGGTGCTGACTTGAAGGGCCCAGGAAGCCTCAGGGGCACTGGGAGGAAGGGAGACTCCAGGGAGAGGCCTGAGGGAGGGGCCTGGAGTCCAGGGCTGCCCCGAGCAGGCAGGGAGGGGGTGCGGTGCTCGGTGGGGGGCTGGAGTGACGGAAAAGGCCAGAAGACCCAGCCACAGACCGGAAGCTTGGACGGGCCCGTGGGGAAGGGTCTTCGTAGGTGCCACTGAGGCGCAGACAGGGCAAGACAAGAGCTGGGTCATCAGTGCGGGCTGCGGGGGTGGAGGCGAGTCGCCTGCTCTGGCTGCTGGTGAGACGGGAGGGCTGACCCGAGCGAGGCCTGAGAGGCCGGGGCCAGAGGGGCCGGCGGGAGCCCAGAGCAGGGCAGCCGGGGGCCAGCTGCGGGCACGCTGCCTGCGGTCTCGGCCATGTCCGGAGGTGGCGTCCACTTGGGGCTGGATTCCTGGAGGCAGCCTCTGGGGGGATGGCAGCGGGGGCGCGGTGCGGGGCGAGGGGCCTGCAGGGCAGGGGCGGTGGAGACAGGCCGGTCCCGGGGCCCACCTGAGCCGGGCCTGGGCGCAGCTGCTGTGCTGGGGCTCAGTTCAGTCACCAAGAAGGCGTTTTGCAGACCGATGGTCTCTTCCTCCTGGCAAACCTGGGGCAGAAGGACACGGAGAGCTCCCGGTTGAGACGGGCGCAAGGCCCCGGGGGTGCAGAGCAGACCCCCGCGGCGCGAGCCCGCCACCTGTGCTGACGCGCAGGCCTGTTTCTCTGGAGCGGGAGCCCCTGGGGCATGGGGCTGCCCAGTGCAGCAGGGTTCCGGTGGGTTTCCGGGGCATGGGAAGACCGCCAAAACCCACACTCCCCAAAGTTGCTGTGTGCTCCTGTCTGCATCCGAGGGACCCTGTCACTGCCCGACGGGGCCCCGGCCGGTCAGCACAGCAGGACGCCGACAGGCACTGAGTGTCCCCCGGCGGGACCCCCAGGGTGCGCCCCCGCCCGCATGTGCCAGGGGTCAACAGAGACCAGGGTGTGGGCCTGCGGGAGGGGCTGCTCTGTGGGCTTATTCGCGGTGAAGGAGCCAAGGAAAGTCACGTCGGGAGGATGAAGGGTGACCTGCCTTCCGCCCTAGAGTCTCCATGCATCTATTCAGTAAACACGGAAGAGCAAGGAGCCTCACCTCTGCGGCCCCAGGGTAGGATAAAGGGCCTGCGGGGTCTCCGTGGTGCCCAGCTTACCGTGCAGGTCGATGCCCTCAGGTGGGCTAGGATCTTTCTGCTGTCCATACCTCTGTGCAGGAGGTAACCGCTGCAGGTCTGAAAGCAAGCACAGGCCAGCGTCCAGCACGCCTGGGGCACCGGCCCGCTTCACTCCCTCAGCGGAGCCCATTGGAGTGTGCAGTGGCAGCCAGGCGGCCCGGGGGCTTCTCTCCAGGAGGACCCCGTGGCACCCCTTCTTGGTTAGAGCCACATGCACCCCAGCCTCAGGGGCCTGGGATGAAATTCAGAGTCTCTAGCTGTCCTTCCTGGCTATCCTGAGCTGGGAAGCCACGGAACGACGGGGCTCCCCCTGACCCAGCCTGGAGGACCCTCGGAGGAGTGCGGGCAAGTCGGGCATGTGGGGGACGCGCTGCAGGGGGTCAGGGGTCAGCGCTCGGGTCCAGGACATCCCCAGCCACTCTCCGGCTGGTGGATGCACTGGAGACACAGGACCATCTGGGGGGAAGGCCGGCATTGAGCAGCAGAGACCCCTCACCGCCCGTCCACAAATGAAGCCATGTCCTTCCCTGTCCAACAGCACTGACCTGCCCCAGAAACAAGAACCCGTGTCCCGGGCCCTGGACCTTGAGCTGGGGCCCCCCCGCGGCACAGTTACCTCGATGGCCTCAGCCGCGGACGGCCGCTCCTGGGCGCTGCGTCTGGCCATGTGCAGGAGGAGCGTCTTGAGCCTGCGTGGCAGGGCCAGTTTGTGGTCTCGGGGGATGCTGAACTTGGCTGCTGTCCACAGGATCGCGGCCACGCAGTACACAGACGCCTGGGTGGAGGAGGAGAGACGGCCGGCTGGCTCAGCAGACCTGCCCCCGCTCGGGCCCCGCCAAGGGCGCACCCAGGCACCGTCCCCCAGGGCTGGGAGCTTCCGCAGAACCTGGAGGCCCCACCGCAGACCCTGAGCCAGAACCCGGGGGCCTGGCCTGGGAATCTGCATGGTTAACAAGTACCCACAGGGCTTTAAGTCTCAGTGTGACCAGGACAACCTGGGGCCCCGGCTGGACCTTCCCAGCTCTCTCTCCACGAGGGCAAAGGTGGCACCTCAGGGAGCCCGAGGCCAGGAGTCCCCCAGAAACCGTGCTATGCTGTTGAATGGCTAAGGACAGGCTCTCTGAGCAACCCAGGCCTCTTGGCACACAAAGAGGTTTATTCTAAAATCTGCTGATGAAAAGGGTGTGTCGCATGCACTGGAAAATAATAATGAAAAGGGCGACGCTCTTCTCCGTGAGCTCCATAGAGTCAATTGCTTCTCCCTGAATGCTTTCCCCGATTTTTACCCTCTACTCTTGTATCTGCAGCCGACCTGTGACCAACACGTGGTTCCGATGTACACGTGGCCGATACCTTCGTTTCTCTCGAAAAGTAAGAGAAAGTGAAACCAGAGACACAGCTGACATCTGTGCTGAGTCAGGTAACAGTGGCTGAATCCCCAAAGGAGTATTTCCCAGAGCTTTTGTACAGACCTGACACACTTTTCAGTTTAATTGTGTTGTTCATGTTTCCTCCATTACGTCAAGTCTAGTCAATTGACAAAACAACGAATCAAGCCCTGAGTTCAGCATTTGCTGATTTCCACGGTGTGAAGACTCCCGTGTGGCCAGCTGCAAGCTGCCAAGGTGGTGCCAGTGAGCCGGGCAGGGGGAGAGATGGGGGAGCCCCCTTCCTATAGGGCTCCTGCCCAGGAGCACAGATAACAGTCAACTATAGCAAATCATTAGGAAATTCTTAGTTTTGAGTATTTATCAACCTTTAAAAAAATTAAGCTTTTTACTTTGAGATAACTGTAGATTCACATAGAGTTGTAGGAGATAATCCAGCGGGACCCCATGTACCTTTCACCCAGCTCCCCACCGCAGTGACATCTTACAAGGCTGTAGTGTGGTATCACAACCTGCTCCCTGGCGTGGACGCCGGGAGATGCAGGACATTTCCATCACCAGGATCCGGCCTGTCCCCTCCCAACTTAGCCGCTGGCAACTACTCATCTCTTCTCCATTTCTTAATTTCATCATTTCATATAAATGGAGTCATACGACATGCGGCCTTTCGGGGCGCCTTTCTCTCTCAGCCCCAGCAACTGGTGGTCGCCTCGTCAACACTCCGTTCCCCTCACCGCTGCTGCCGCTCTGCGGTGTGGACGTGCCACCCGCTGAAAGACATCTGAGTTGTTTCCAGGCTGTAGCTACTGCAAATAAAATTGCCATAGACATTCGTGTCCAGGACTTTGTGTGAACATAAGTTTCATTTCTCCAGGAAAAATGTCTTATGAGTGCAATTTCTGGGTTGTATGATCGTTGCATGTTTAGTTTTGTAGGAAACCAGCAAACTGTCTTCCTAAGGGCTGCACCATCTTGCATCCCCCTCGGCAGTGGATGAGGGTTCCTGTCACTCCACACCCTCGCTAGCATTTGGTACTGTCAGGGTTTTGGACTTTAGCCTTTCTAGTAAGTGTGTAGTGGTAGCTCATGGTTTTAAGTTGCGTTTCCCGAATGCCGTATGAAATGGAATACCTTCACGTGCTTACTTGCCATCTGATACCTTCTCTGGTGAGGTGTCTGTTCAGATCTTTTGCCCACTTTTTAATTGGGTTATTTGTTTTCTTACTGTTCACTTCTGAGAGCTTTTGGCATATTTGGGATACAAGTCCCTTATCAGATACGTGTTTTGCAAATAGTTCTCCCATCTGTGGCTTGTCTTCTCATTCTCTTAACTGTGTCTTTTACAGAGCACAGCATTAAAATCAAGCATTTAATTTGAATGAAATCTAACATCGAGGGTTTCTTTCATAGATCATGCTTTTGGTGTGGTATCTGAAGACTCACTGCCTAGATTTTCTCCTATGTTATTTTCTAGAAGTTTTATAGCTTTGAATTTACTTTTAGGCCTATGTTCCATTTTGAGTTAATTTTTATGAAAGTGCAACAAGGTCTGTGTAAAGGTTTTTTTTGGCCTGTGGATGTCCCGTTGTTACAGCACCACTTGTTGAGCAGACCGTCCTTTCTCCAACGATTGCCTTTGCTCCTCTGTCAAAGACCAGTTAATTGTATTTGTGTGGGTTTATTTCTGGGCTACTTTGTTCCATTTATTTTTTGTCTTTTCTTTTGCCGAAACCACACTTGATTACTGTGGCTTACAGTAAGTTTTAGAACTGGGTAGTGTCAGTCCTCTGACTTTGTTCTTCTCCTTCAATATTGTGTTGGCTATGCTGGGTCTTTTGCCTCTACATAAAAACCTAAGAATCAGTTCGTTGATATCAACAAAATAACTTGCTGGGATTTTCACTGAAATTGCATTGAATCTATAGATCAAATTGGGAAGAACTGACATCTTAATAATATTGAGTCTTCCAATCCATGAACATGGACTATCTCTCCATTTATTTAGATCATTTTCGGTTTCTTTCATCAGAATTTTACAGTTTTCCTCATATGAATCTTATACACATTTTCTTAAATTTTATACATAAGGAATTTTTTGGGGGCTAATGTAAATGGTATTTTAAAAAAATAATTAATCATTTTTTAAATGGCTGTGTCTGGTCTTAGTTGTGGCACGCGGGATCTTTCATTTCTGTGCGTGGGCTTCTTGCTAGTTGTGGTGTGCTGGTTTTTTCTCTCTAGTTGTGGCGCACAGGCTCCAGGGCACGTGGGCTCTGTAGTTTGCAGCATGCAGTCTCTAGTTGAGGCGTGCGAGCTTAGTAGTTGTGGCGCGCGGGATTAGTTGCCCCGGGGTATATGGGATCTTAGTTCCCCGACCAGGGATCGAACTTGTGTCCCCTGCATTGGAAGGCGGATTCTTTAGAACTGGACCAGGAGGGAAGTCCCTGGTATTGTTTTTTGTTTTTTTACTTTTTATTATTTTTAAAAATTTATTTATCTATTTATTTTTGGATGCATTGGGTCTTCGTTGCTGTGTGCAGGCTTTCTCTAGTTGCAGTGAGCGGGGGCTACTCTTCGTTGTGGTGCATGGGCTTCTCATTGCGGTGGCTCCTCTTGTTGCAGAGCACAGGCTCTAGGCATGCGGGCTTCAGTAGTTATAGCACATGGGCTCAGTAGTTGTGGCTCGCGGGCTCTAGAGTGCAGGCTCAGTAGTTGTGGCACATGGGCTTAGTTGCTCCACTGCATGTGGGATCTTCCAGGACCAGGGCTCGAACCCATATCCCCTACATTGGCAGGCGGATTCTTAACCACTGCGCCACCAGGGAAGCCCTGGTATTGTATTTTTAATTTCAAATTCCAATTGTTCATTGCTGGTAAACAGGAGAGCAATTGACATTTGTATTTTAATCTTCTATCTGCAATCTTGCTACAACTGCTTATTAGTTCCAGGAGGTTTCTGTTGATTCTTTGGGATTTCCTACTTAGGCAATCATGTCACCTGTAAACAAAGACAGTCTTATTTCTTCCTTCTCAATCTACATCCATTTTCTTTTCTTTTCTTGTCTTATTGCATTAGCTAGGACTTGCAGTACGATGTTGAATAGGAGTGATGAGAGGAGACATTCTTGCCTTTTTCCCAATCTTAGGGGGAAAGCATCTAGTTTCTCACCATTACTTATGCTACCTGTTGGCTTTTTTGTAGATATTCTTTATCAAGTTGAGGAAATTTCCCTCTATTCCTAGTTTGCTGAGAGTTTTTATTATGAATGGGTGCTAAATTTTGTCAAAAGCTTAGCATCTATTGTTATGATTTTTCTTCTTTAGTCCATGTGATGTATTACATTGACTCTCAATTGTTGAGCCAGCCATCCATACATGGAATAAATGCCACTTGGCCAGTTTTAAATTTTGATGAAGTTCAATTTATCCATTTTTCCTTTTGTGGAAAACTTTATGGATAGTGCTTTTGGTGTCAAGTCTAAAAGCTCTTTGCCTAGCCCTCCATTCCAAAGATTTTCTTTGATATATTTTTTTCAGCAGCCTTTTGTGGTCTTTAGCATATAAATTCTGTACGTGCTTTGTTAGATTCACATCTAAGTATTTCATTTTTGGGGGAGTGATTGTAAATGTACTGTGTTTTTAATTTTGGTGTCCACATGTTCATTTCTAGTATATAGAAATACAATTGATTTTTGAATGTTTATCTTATATCCTGTGACCTTTCAAAACTCAATTCTAAGTTCTGGGAGGCTTTTTTTGAGATTCTTTGGAATTGCTTGGAATTTTCTATGTCGACAGTTATGTCGTCTGCAAACAGTATTATTTCTTCCTTCCTGGCCTTTATGCTTTTTACCTGCTTTTCTTGCCTTATTGTAGTGGCTAGAACTTCCAGTACAATGTTGAATAGGGTGGTGAGAGTGGGCATCCTTGCTTTGTTCTTGATCTTAGGGGGAAAGCATTTAGTCTTTCCACTAAGTATGATGTTAACTGAACAGTTTTTTTGGTAGATGATCTTTATTAAGTTGAGGAAGTTTCTTCTATTTTTCTGAGTTTTTTTTTTTTTAATAGATGGGTGTTAAATTTTGTCAAATGCTTTTTCTGCATCAGTGAATGTGATCATGGGATTTTTCTTCTTTAGCTGGTTAATATGTTGGACTACACTGATTGGTTTTCAAATACTGAACCAGCCTTATGTCCCTGGAATAACCCCCACTTGTTTATGGTATATAATTGTTTTTATATCTTAGTGAATTCTATTTGCATATATTTTGTTTAGGATTTTTGCCTTTATATTCATGAGGGATATTGACCTATATACATATTTTTTGTACTATCTTTGACTGGTTTTGGTATCAGGGTAATATTAGGCTTCATCAAATGGATTGGGAAGTGTTCACTTCTGTTTTCTGGAAAAGACTGTGTAGAATTGGTATTAATTCTTCTTTAAACATTTGGTATACCACCCTAGTGAAAACATCTTGGCCTAGAGGTTTATTTTTGAGAGTTTAAGAATTACAAATTCAGGGCTTCCCTGGTGACGCAGTGGTTGAGAGTCTGCCTGCCGATGCAGGGGACGCGGGTTCGTGCCCCGGTCCGGGAAGATCCCACATGCCACGGAGCGGCTGGGCCTGTGAGCCATGGCCACTGAGCCTGCGCGTCCGGAGCCTGTGCTCCGCAACGGGAGAGGCCACAACAGTGAGAGGCCCATGTACCGCAAAAAAAAAAAAAATTACAAATTCAATCTCCTCAACAGTTATGGAGCTATTCAAAGGTCTATTTCATCTTGGGTGAGTTGTAGTTTATATTTTTTAAAGATTGGTCCATTTCATCTAAGTCATTGAATTTTATGTGTGGGGAGTTGTCTGTGGTATTCCATTATCCTTTTGATGTCTGCAGGGTCTGCAGGGATGTCCCCTGAGTCATTCCTGACATCGGCAATTTGTGTCTTCCTTCTCTTTTTGCTTTGTCAGTTTTGCTAGAAGTTTGTTAATATTATTCGTCTCTTCCAGGAGCCAGCCCTTCATTTCACTGGTTTTCTCTACTGTTTTTCTGTTTTCATTTCACTGAGTCCTGCTCTCAGCTTCACTGTTTCCTTCTTTCTGCTTTGGGTCTATTTCACTCTTCTTTTGAGGTGGGTGCTTAGATTACTGAGTTGAGACTTTACCTCTTTTTTAGTTTTCAGCATACGAGTCCTGTACATGCTTTGTTAGACTTACATCTAAGTATTTCATTTTTAGCGATTCTTTTTTTTTTTGAGGGGAGGTTGCCTCGTTACCACTGGGTGATGGTGAAAGTCCCAACTCTTCCTGAGGCCTCCTCTGACTTACACTCCCACCCCGGGAGGGGCAGGTCTCACTGATGCACAGGGGTCCTCGTCACAGGCTGGATGCTCAGCCTTTTCCGACAGCACCTGGCCTGGGCGGGCCGCCCTCCCTTTGTCCTGCTGCTCCAGCTCCAGCATGCGGGCTTCCAGTGGGCTTCTGCTGTGTCCGCTGGTGTTTCCCAGATGTGCTTCCTCATCCTCCACGTGTGAGGCAGGAAGGACACCCGGGACTCTTAGGACCGTCGCTCCCCGGGGCCCAGGGCCCTGGCCTTTCTGTCCTCACACGCCAGCTTTCAGAACGGCGTGCTTTGTTGGGGGGCAGGGAACTTACGTCTCCCCCACGTTCCCGAAAGCGGAAGTTCTACCTTGGTTCTGAATATAATTTACTTGATTTTAAGTCTGTACAATTGAATTTTTAATAACAGGTGTGTTTGACAAGCATCTGGCAAACATCCCTGAAAGTTCAGCTGTGGGGTCTTGTGAGCACTGCCCGGAGCTGAAGTCCAGGCTCAGATGACACCCCTGTCACCCTCCGGGAGGCCCCTGCAGAGCCGGGCTCTGGACGCGGGGGCTGCGTTGGGGGGGGTCGCCTTGACCCTGCTGAGTCCTGATGCTGGGCCCATCCTCTCCCCACCCCCTCCCCCCTCAGGCTCTCTGGACGGAGGGCGTGGGCACCACGGAGCGAGGCAGGGGGCCACGGGAAGGGGTGGGGAGGGCCCAGGTACCTTTTCAGTCGTCAGCTTTTGCTCTGCGACCTCGGGAGCCAGAAAGAACGAGTTGTAAGCACCTGAGACAGAAAACCCCAAACCCACTGAGCTTTCCTTCAGCCTTGGCTGTCGGAACCAGAGCACAGCCCCCCGGGGGGGCCCACTTACGCACCGCTGGCGGGAGGTGGCCCAAAAAGCACAGTTCCATCCTCGGCCACCAGCACGGAGTCCAGACACAGGTAGGCTGCAAGGGAAGGCGAGCGTCAGGGCGGCTGTAGACTCACTGGGGGACCTGATCCCCCTCAGGGCTGGCAGAGCCACAGTCGTGGGGCAGCCCCCTCTCTCAGCCACCCCACGGGCTCCCAAGCCACCCAGGGAGTGCGGGGACGCTGGGGCCCTAGCTGGACACAGCACAGGGGCCAAGTGCTGGCTCCCCTTCCCAGAAGCCTGGGCGACAGGCCACGGAAGGGCCATCTGAGCCAGCCCTGGGGCACAGGAGCTGCGGGAAGAGGAGGGGGACAGAGGGACGTGACCCACCCGCCGAGCGCGGCCCTGGGAGGGGTCCCGGGGGAGGCTGGGTGCCGGCGCTTCGTACCCACAGGCCTGAGGCTCACAGGACCCGAGGGAGGCCAGAGAGCAGCGTCCCTGCCCTGCTAGGACCACCGTGGGGCCGGAGACTGGTCCCTCTGCCTGGTAGGGCTGAGCTTCAGGGGTCACAAATGAGTCTAACGTCCGAGGACCCCCCCCAGCCCCCCCCCCCCCCCCCCCCCCCCGCCCCAGCCAACCTTCGTCTCCTTGGGGACAGCGTCGCCCCTGCTGAGAGGGTGTGGCCCAGGGCCACCGCACAGCTTCCGCCCCGCCTCAGCAGGAGGAGGCCCATGTTTGAAGCTGCCCTCTGACCCCCTTGGTCCTGAGACCAGAGTAGATACCCCCAGGCTACCCCCGGCTCACAGGATGGACACTGCCACCCAGCCCCAGGCTGTCCACACAGCCCACACGGGCGACAGAGGCCACGTGTGGCCCTGGGTCCTGGCCCGGACGTGCTGGGGGTCGGCGGGCTGGACGAGGACCCATGGGAGGGCGTCACCTGGGTGCTGGCCGTGCGTCCGCAGGGTGCTGAGGCATGCGTGGGACAGAGCCCAGAGCTCGTACTCCTTGAAGGGCCGGCCCAGCTTAGACAGGAGGTCCTGCAGGGAGACGCCCTGAGGGGGGCGGGGGGAGGAGCCACATTCAGTGTGTGGGCACCTCAGAGGGATGCATGGAGGAAGACGACAGGGCAGGGACCACCTCAAACATGTGGGGTTTGCCCCACACAATGCACTCCTGGCATGACGGGCTGGGAGAGTCCCCACGTCAGCACAACAGGTGCTGGGGGTGCACGTGGAGAAACCAGCCCCTGTGCACGGCAGGTGGGATCGTAAAACGGTGCAATGACGTGGAAAACAGCACAGAGGCTCCTCAAAGAATCAGACGTAGAATTACCATCTGACCCAGCAATTCCACTTAAAAGCAGGGTCTTGAAGACGTATTTGCACACCCATGTTCAAATCAGCATGATTCACGAGAGCTAACATGTGGAAGCAACCCAAGCGCCATTGGTGGATGGATGGATAAGCATTACATGGTCCATCCATAAGATGGATACTATTCAGCCTTGAAAAGGAAGGGAATTCTGACACAGCTACAACATAGATGAAGCCTGAGGACACTGTGGTCCGTGAGGTAAGCTAGTCAAAAAGGGACAAACATTGTATGATTTCTCTTCTATCAAAGACTGAGAGCAGTCACACCCGTAGAGACAGAAAGTAGATGAGCGGTTGTCAGGGCCGGGGCAGGGATGGCGGGTAAGTGTTTACTGCGGACATAGCTTCAGTCTGGGGTGATGACAACGTTCCGGGGATGGACGATGGTCATGATTGCAGTGTGAATGTGCCTAATGCCACTGCCCTGTACACTTGAAATGGTTAAGATGGTAAACTTTATGTTATGGGTTCCCCTTCCCTCATACTGCCCCCCCACAGATTAAAGTCCCAGAGTCAGAAGAATGAGTTCAGCTGGAAGGGAGTTCTCTGCTTTGCGGCCACGGGAAGAGCTGGGAGTACAACTGCCCGCTTGGACACAGAAGTGCATGTTCAGAGGAAGGTTCCAGAGACAGTGTCTTCACCCCTCCTGGACCCCCCTCTCTGCCCAGGATGTAGCTGCCTCGGTCCTGAGACTTCACTGCCTGCCTCATCCAGCCTGTGCCTGGCCAGGGGCCCAGGTTCTGGGGCACAGGGCCCCCCAAGCCTCCTGCTACATGTGGGGTTGGAGCAGCCAGCTTTGCACCCAGGACGTGCTCTCTAGAGGAGATCTGGGTCCCCGACTCTGGACCAGCCCTGACACCTGACAGGCTGTGACCTGTTTGGGGGCCGAGGTCTGGTGGGCCCTGATCCCTTGAGTCTTCGGGGCAGGGAAGCCTGGTGGTTAAGACCATGGCTGGGCTCCCAATCAGGTCTGCGCTTCAGCGACCGCCCACCCTCCTCATGGCGGCCCCCAGCCTCAGTTTACCCATCCGGGAGGTGGCTGTCTGTGAGGCTGGTGGGCATTTGAAGGTGAGCAGAGCCCTGGGCTCAGGCCTGAGGTTTTCACTTCGGTGCCTGGGCACTCTGGGTACATGAGTGTGGTCGGGTAGGTGGACATGGGGAGGCCAGTGGAGATGGTTTGGGCTGAGCAGACAGCACGTGGGCATCGAGCATGTGTTAACGCACTGGGGTCTCCAGGATGGGCTTTCATTTTAAAGTAACCATATTTTTCAAGTAAATTACCCTCAGGTGCTTATCAGGATATGAATAAAAATGTAACTCAGAGTCTGCCCTCCCCTTTGACCTCTGGGTCAGCAAAGCATGGTGGGAATGAAGCTGGTGGAGTCAGCACTGCTGCACAGACACACCGAACCCCAGGTGACTTCGTCCCAAGATGCTCACAGGCACCCACCTTAGGGGAGCGACTTACTTCGTGCTCAAGAGCCCGCGCCTGCGGAGGGAGCGCGTGCGCGGTGCGTGTGCACGCAGGCCCCTCCCGGGCCACGCGGGCCACGGTCACCCACCTGCTCCAGGGCTGCTCCGCCCGGCTCCCCGGCTCTGTCCGCAGTCCCGTCATCAGGCTCGGGAGTCCCTGGGTCTCTGCCGGCATCGCGAGGGCCCTTGGAACCGGGCGGGGGGCTTTCCTCCGCGGGGCCCCGGCCACGCGCCCCCCTGTCCCCAACGCGCCGGAGCTCGGCGTCTCGCTCCGGCCACAGACTGGATTCGGGCTGTGCCTGGGAGCTGGTAAGGCCATTTTTCCCCTCCGGAAAGGTCTTCCTGGGGTCTGGAGGGAAGAATTCTGGTGCCCGTGGCTGGGTTTTCGTGCTGGTCAGCGACAGGCAGAGGGCGCCGGCCTCGGGGCTGCAGGGCAGGAGCCGGGGCAGCGTCTGCACCTTCCTCAGGCGGCTCCTCTCCAGGAAGCCTCTGTCCGGGTCCCCCAGGGGCCGCTGGGCATCCAGGAGGAGGCAGGCCAGCCTCTCGGGGGCCAGCCCCTCCTGGCCCGGGCTTTCTCCGTTTTTCGCAGGGGCTGACAGCAGAGCCTTGGAGGGCGGGGTCCCCGGGTGCTCCAGGCTTTCTCCGGCGGGGCTCGGGGGCTGGCCCTCCAGGGCAGGCAGGGCCGCTGGGTCCGCGGAGCGGTCCCCTGGCTGCCTCTTGGGCCCCACACTTTTTGGAGCCAGTCTCGCCCTCCAGGTGATCTCACTGACATCTGGGCAAAAGCAAGACGTGATTACAGCCGAGGGCCACAGCCAGGATGGACCTCCCCTGCAATCCCCACGCTCACGGCCACCAAGGCACCCACTCCTGCAGGACCCCTGGACCCCCACCCATCACAGAGAGCACGGGGCCTCCTAGGCCCCCCACCCCTTCCCTCAGGACTGGCCCAGAAGCGTCCTCATCTGCTTCCTTAATCACACCATCTTGGCTAAGTAATGAGTCTCCGGAGGCTCTCGGTCCCCCCGCCACCCCATCCAGGGTGAGCTTCCCGAAGGGGTTTCCTAAGGCCTGTCTAATTAGCTCATCCAAAAAGCACATGGTTTTGCTATTACGGTTACACAAGTGATACTCCCCAAAGGAATAAATTAAATCTGGCAGCAGCCCCAGCTCGTCCTGACGTACAATCTTCCACACACGTGTCTGTGTGAACCCCTCTAGAGACACACGCCCTCCCCTCCCAGTGGCCTGCAGCCCCCTCAGCGGAGCCTCTGCTCTCAGTGTTAACGCCCTCCCCGATGTTAGAGCTGCCAGCGGGCCTGGTGCTGCAGTGTCACAAATGCCAACGTGGTGGGAAATGCCGCTCGCTTGGCTGGGGGAGGGGCCCTGCCACCCCCAGAGGCTCCACACCTCCCCTCAGGACCCTCCAGGCTCCCTGCTGCGAGCACAGCGCAGAGCAGACGTTGTTATTTGTTCAAAATGCCACCCAAGATTATGCCTTGTGAGCCATGAAAATCCCAGATGCTTCAGCAACAGCTTGTGTGGCCAGGAAGTAAGTGGCCACCAGACTGGCGGTGCTGTGTCCATGTCCCCAACGCCCACAGAAGAGGACAGAGGTGACCAGTCCTGAGGGCAGTCACTTCCCATATGACCTGCCTCTCACCTCCAATTGTGGGTCAGAGCGTGTGTGTGCACGCTTGCAGACGTGTTGGTGCGTGTGGGAAACTGGGGGTGTGCTCGCTGTGTGAGTTAATAGTCTAAATAGGTGTGTCCGAGTTTGCACATGCTTGTATGTTTCCATGTGTGCTGTGGGAGCACATGTGATCTGTCTGCATCCGTGTGCATGTCAGCGTGGGTGGCTTACACGGTGAGTACGCTGGTGCGAACGTGTGTGTACGTGATCGTGTTAATGCTTGTGCACACCCATGTGTGCACGTGTGAGGGCGTGCACATGCCTGGGCGTGTGTGCAGGCTCGTCCACCTGTGTGCTTACCTTGAAACGCCCCGAAGGACTCGATGGAGAGCACCCTCCTCCCGGCAGCCGAGAGGCTCTGGCACAGGCGGCAGGAGGACGTGAGCTGCATCTTCTCCTCGCACAGTGCGATGATGCTCTGTGACCGGAGCCAGCGCTCAGCCCCGCCCCAGCCCCCGTCGCCCCCTCGCCGCCGCTCAAGGCGCCGGGATCACGAAGCGGGGCGTCCTGAGCTACATGATCCCCGTGGGACAGAATCTGCTTCGTGAAACCAGCGGATTCTGTCCTGCCCGTGATGGTTATAATGCATGCTGTTCATCGCAAAAATGCAGAGTAAAGAAGTAAGGAGCCCAGGTGATGGGCGGGTGGGGGCCCGCGTGTGCGCGCTGGCTGTGCGTGCGCGCTGGCTGGGGGCGCGTGGGGCGCAGGGCCGCGCCTGGGGGAAGTGGGGGCTGCCTTCGCGCCTACCTGCAGGTCGGGCCGGTCCCGGGGGTCCTCGGCCTGCATCTGGCCCAGCAGCGCTTCCAGCTCCCGGCTCAGCCTGGGCTGGGGCTCGGGGTCCGTCACATAGTCGAGGGCTGCCTTCAGCGTGGCCCCCAGAGAGTAGATGTGGGCCTGCGGCAGCACCAGAGAGCCCACTGGGCGTGGGGCAGGGCCTCGCAGCCTCCCGGGCAGCACCTGTCCCCAGGCAGCCGCTGCTCCTCTGGGCCAGGAGCACCTGCGCTTTACAGGGCCGCCTCCCTTGCCCCCAGCGCGGCGATTCTCCTGGCCCCGGGCCACCCCCATGCTCCCGGGCCTGGGGTCTGTGCCGGCCCCGCGCCACCAGCCCCAGCCCACCTCCCCGGCACAGGCCCTCGCCTGGCACAGGCCCTGTCTTCAAAGGGCCAGCCTTTTCTTTTTCAAGTGTATGCTTCAAAAACCGATTTGAGGAGGAGGAAAGGCAGGTTTCTTGCAGTTTGGAAGTCAGGGTTTTCCCCTGTGAGAGTGGGGTTCTTCACCCCATGCCCACTGGGACAGGCTCACAGGGCAGGCCTCAGCCCTCGGGTCCTGGAGGGGCTGCCGACCCCTGCGGCCAGGTGTCCTCCGACACCATCTGGGCTTCTCGCCTCATCTCAGGACCATGCACGTGGGGCTTCATCATCCCCGCTTCACTCACAGGAAGCTGAGACCAGAGAGGTTCAGGAACCTGCCCGGGGCCACACAGCTGGGCCAGGAGGAGCTGGTGGGGGCCCTGGGCCATGTGACTCCAGAGAGGTGGGTCACACAGCTCAGGAGTAGAGGCCGGGCCCCCAGAGGCCGGCTCTCCCCACCTCCCTGCCCCGGTGCTCTCCCCACCCCAACCAGTGAATCCCCCACCTCCAGCCCTGGGCCCACTCTGGTCCAGGGTCAACACCTAGCCAGGGCCAGCCTCAGCATGGCTGAGTGGTGGGGTCCTGTCAGGGACGTCTTGCCCTGCCTCCTCACATGACCCTCAGACCCCACCTTCCTGGTCAGTGGGGAAGTCTGGGACCACCGGCTCCTGCTGTTTTTCTAGGGCTGTCTGGTTTCCACTGGCCGCCTGGCTGAGACACGCCCTCCTGACCCACCTCCCTGCCAGCGTCTGTCTCAGGAGCTGGGCCCGTGGGGGTCCGCCCCTCGCCACTCAGGGCAGTTCCTGTGTTTTGCTGTTGTGACCAGCGCTGCAGTGGCCGTCCTCACGTGGACGTCTCTGTGCATCCACAGTGTGTTCACGAGGCCTCAGGCCCCGCAAGTGGGGCTACAATCTGGGCTACATCCGTTCCATTTGCAGTTTTCGGAGCTGCTGAGGAGCTTCCCTTGTGAGTCACCGGCCCAGCCGTGTGCGTGCGTCTGTGCGTGCGTGTGTGGGTCAGACCGCCTCCCCCTTCCAGCTCGCGGCCTCTGCAGCTTCCCCAAGCTCAGTGTCTCGGGCTAACCTGCGTTTCTGTGACCGTGAATGAGACCAAGCATCTGTTCAACTCTATTCACTGTTTAAAATTTTCCTCTTTATGCCCATTCGTGGACTTTGCTAATTTGTCTGCTGAGCTGTTGCCTGTTTTGAGTGCACTCTTGGCACACGAAGGGGCTGATCCCTGGTCTGTGTGTCACACGTATATTCTGTCACTTATGTTTCAACTTTTTCATGTGTCTTTTGACATTCAAAAATTCTAATGTTTAATTTGTGAAACTGGATAATTTTTTTATTGCCTTCTTAAGAGGACCTTCCCTAGCCCACGACAATAAAAACAGCTTACTTCTGCTTTTTCCAATACTTCTATAATTTGAAAGCATCTAGCTCTAATCCCTGTGGATTGTACCTGTGAGCTGGCACGCTGCAGGGATCTGGTTTTGGCTCCTTCCTGATGGAGAGCCACCTCCATCTCCCACACTGTTAAAGAAGAGCCCACCCTCTGTCCACCCTGAACCCTCGTCCTGCTGCCCTCAGCTCCCCGGGGCTCCAGGCTCGGCTGGCCTCCCCTCCTCTTACTCTGTATCTCTCCCTCTGTCCAGACTGTGCTACTGTACTATTTTAATTATGGTGGCTTCAGAGTGCATTTTCTTTTTCTTTCTTTCTTTCTTTCTTTCTTTCTTTCTTTCTTTCTTTCTTTCTTTCTTTCTTTCTTTCTTTCTGTTTTGCTGAGCCGTGTGGCTTGTGGGACCTTAGTTCCCCAACTTGGGATCGGAGTGAAAGCGCCAAGCCTTAACCACTGGACTGCCAGGGAATTCCCCAGAGTGCATTTTCATACCTGGTGGACAAATGGTCCTCCATTTCTTTCCCAAAAATGTTTGATTATTTTCACATTTGTCAGGTTTAAAAAAAGATATATATAGGTTCCCCCATTCCCATTAAAAAAAAAAAAACCAAAAGGTTAGAATTTTATTGTAACAGCACTGACGTGGCAGAATTTGGGAAGGACCGACGTCATACCAGATGAAATACTTGGATGCCAGCAAGATGGCTGTCCCTAGATTGTATCCCCCTCAACAACAATTTGGCATCCATCTGCAGACAAAATTTCCTTTGTGGGAGCTGTGGGATCCAGCAACATATGCCAAGGGACCTGGCAGGAGTCTTGCCCAGCTGTGTGTCAGGTGAGAGGCAGACAAACCTCTGTCCTGGTTGTGGATCCTTTAGCTAGACTAACTAGGGAAAAAAAGAGAGGACTCAAATAAATAAAATCAGAAATGAGGGACGAGACATTACACCTGATACCACAGAAACACAAAGGATCATAAGAGACCACTATTTATATGCCAACAACTTGGATAGCCTAGAAAAAAATAGATGAATTCCTAGAAACCTACAACCTACCAAAACTGAATCACGAAGAAATAGATAATCTGAACAAACTATTACTAGTAAGGAGATCGAATCAGTAATCAAAAACCTCCCAACAAAGAAAAGCCCAGGACTAGATGATTTCACTGGTGAATTCTACTAACATTTATTTAAAGAATTAATACCAATCCTTCCTAAATTCTTCCAAAAATTGAAGAAGAGGGAACACTCCCAAACTCATTTTATGAGGCCAGCATTACCCTGACATCAAAACCAGATAAGAACAGTACAAGAAAACTATAGACCAATATCCCTGATGAATATAGATGTGAAAATCCTCAACAAAGTATTAGCAAACTAAATTCAAAAGTAATTAAAAGGATCATATACCATGGTCAAGGGGGATTTGTCCCTAAGATGAAAAATGGGTCAATATACACAAATCAGTAACTGTGAGTCACCATATTAATAGAATAAAACATAAAAATCATATGGTCATCTCAACAGAAGCAGAAAAAAGCATTTGGCAAAATTCAGCATCCTTTCATGGTAAAAACTCTCAATGAACTGGGTATAGAAGGGATGTACCTCAACATAACAAAGGCAACATATTACAAGCTCACAGCTAATATCATACTCAATGGTGAAAGGTTGAAATCTTTTCCTTTAAGATCAGAACAAGACAAGGATGCCCACTCTCATCATTCCTTTTCAGCACACTGGAAGTTCTAGCCAGAGCAATTAGGCAAGAAAAATAAATAAAAGGCAACCAAACTAGAAGGGAAGAAATAAAATTGTCTCTATTTGCACATGATATGATCTTATATATAGAAAATCTTAGATGCCACCAAAAATCTTTTAGTAACAACAAATTCAGTAAAATTTCAGGATACAAAATCAGCATGCATAAATCAGTTACATTTTTATACACTAACAATGAAATATCTAAAAAAGAAATAAAGAAAATAATCACACTCACAATAGCATCAAAAACAATAGAATATTTAGGAAAAACAATAAAATATTTAGGAATAAATATAACCAAGTAGGTGAAAGATCTGTATATTGCAAAGAATAAGACTTTGATGAAAGAAGCTGAAGACACAAATAACTGGAATGATATCCTGTGTTCATGGATCAGAAGGATTAATATTGTTAAAATGTCCATCCTACCCAAAGCCATCTATAGACTGAATGCAATTTCTATCAATATTCCTATGGCATTTTCATAGAAGTAGAAAAAAAAAATCAAAAAGTTTGTATGGAACCACAAAAGACTGCAAATAGCCAAAGCAATCCTGAGAAAGAGCAAAGCTGGAGGCATCACACTTCCTGGTGTGTGTATTACACAGCTCTAGTAATCAAACCAGTATGGTACTGGCATAAAAACCATCACATGGAACAGAACTGAGAGCCCAGAAATAAAACCACGCCTATACAGTCAACTAGTATTTGACAAGGGAGCAAAGAACCCTTACTGCGAAAGGGCAGTGTCTACAATAAATGATATTGGGAAAACTGGACAGCCACATGCAAAAGAATGAAACCGGACCTGTATGTTACACCACACACAAAAACTAACTCATAATGGATTAAAGAATTAAACATAAGACCTGAAAACCATAGAAATCATAGAAGAAAACATAGGGGGAAAGCTCCCTGACATTGGTCTTGGCAATGATTTTTTTGGACATAACACCACAAGCACAAGCACCAAAAGAAAAAACAAATAAATGGAACTACATCAAACTAAAAAGCTTCTGCATAAGAAACAATTAACAACGTGAAAAGGCAACCTATGGGAGAAAATATTTGCAAACCATTTACCTCATAGGTGGTTCATAGGGGGTTAATATCTGAAGTAGATAAAGAACTCACACAACTCAAGAGCAACAAAATAATCTGATTAAAAAATGGGCAGAGGGACTTCCCTGGTGGCGCAGTGGTTAAGAATCCACCTGCCAATGCAGGGGACACTGGTTTGAGCCCTGGTCTGGGAAGATCCCACATGCTGCAGAGCAACTAAGCCCACGTGCCGCAACTACTGAGCCCGTGAGCCTAAAGCCCGTGCTCTGCAACAAGAGAAGCCACCACAGCGAGAAGCCCACGCACCGCAACGAAGAGTAGCCCCCACTCGCCACAGCTAGAGAAAGCCCGTGTGCAGCAGCGAAGACCCAATGCAGCCAAAAATAAGTAAATAAATAAATTTATTTAAAAAAAAAAAATGGGCAGAGGGAGATTTCCCTGGTGGCCCAGTGGCTAAGACTCCATGCTCCTAATGGTCAGATCCTACGTGCTGCGACTAAGATTTCGCATGCCACAACTAAAAGATCCCGCA